TCCTCCTCCTCTCTTCCTCCTCCTCCTCCTCCTCTCTTCCTCCTCTTCCTCCTCTCTTCCTCCTCTCTTCCTCCTCCTCCTCCTCCTCTTCCTCCTCCTCCTCCTCCTCTTCTCTTCTTGCAGCTTCCTGGTTTCCTGGAGCTCATTGTGGAGTTTTACCGCCGCTGCCTCATCCAGATCTTTGGTATCCTGGAGAACTACGAGGTGGGAGCTGAAGGCCAGAGGACCCTGCTGGGGCCCCTGCCCAACCCACTTACAGAGGAGGAGGTGCTAAAGGAGCCTCCAGCTGCCGCATCCCAATGCAACAGCCAATCAGGAGAGGAGCAGGAGATACAGAGGAGGTCAACGGAGGAGATGTCACCACTACTCACTACTACTCCCACCATCATCGATGAGGACACTGAACCGGCCGTCAAGCAGGTGAAGGTGAAGGAGGAGCAAGCAGAGCCCCGCCCCCAACAGGCCAGCAAGTATGACAAGCTGCCAATTAGAGTGGAGGAGAGTGGGGAGGAGTGGGAGGAGATGGAGCGGCGCTGGGCTGAGCTCAGCCGACCCGCTGGCTTCATCAGCGGCCTCCTGCACTGGAAGGCTGGGGGAGGAGACTCCACCGCTCACATCCAGACGCACTTTGAACCCTGCACATTTAACTCCACCCCCCCAAACCCAGTTCAGAGGAGGGGAGGGGCGGACGTGAGGGAGGAGGAGGCAGAGGAGGAGCTTGAGGAGGAAACATCATCTGAAACACAACAAGGTGACGTTTTTTATCTTCTGTACATTTGCCTCGTTTATATTCGATGAAATATTCATATCATCATTTCTGCAGATGTTGATGATTCATCAATAACGAATTCATATTATTGATAGTTTGACTGAATCACTAGATCTGCAGTTCTGTTGTTTCACCACTAGCTGGTGCATCGGTTTTAATTCTCAGGTTCTAAACTTCCCTCCTTATGTTCTGCCGTCAGAGGTCATAGGTCAGAGGTCGCCAGCTCAGAGTCCCATCAGCCACCTGGAGGATGAGCCTCGTTGCTGGGACAAGGTGCCGCTGTCCACTGCTGAGTCCTGGCAGGACTCTTTGGCCAAACGCTGCATCTGCATCTCTAACATTTTGCGCGGCCTCTCCTTCGTCCCTGGCAATGACGCCGACATGTCGCAGCACCCCGGCCTGGTGCTGATCCTGGGCAGACTGGTGCTGCTGTACCACCACCACCCCCACAGGAAACCGACGCCGCCCACCTACCAGCGGGAGGACAAGCAGGGTCTGGCGTGCAGCTGTGACGAGTGGAGGTGGGACTGTCTGGCTACGCTCAGGGAGAATACGCTGGTGACGCTGGCAAACATCTCGGGCCAGCTGGACCTGTCGCTGTACCCCGAGAGCATCTGTCTGCCCATCCTGGACGGGCTGCTTCACTGGATGGTTTGTCCGTCCGCCGAAGCCCAGGACCCGTTCAGCTCGGCGGGCGGCTTCTCCTCGCTCACCCCTCAGAGACTGGTGCTGGAGTGTCTGTGCAAGCTGAGCATCCAGGACTCCAATGTGGACCTGCTGCTCGCCACGCCGCCTTTCAGCCGCCAGCAGAAGCTCTTTGCCACGCTGGTGCGCCTTGTAGGTGAGAGGAAGAGTCAGGTGTGTCGAGAGATGGCGGTGGCCGTCCTGTCTCACCTGGTGCAGGGCGACTCGACAGCGGCGATGGCCGTCACCCGGCAGAAGGGCAGTGTGGGAACTCTCATCGGCTTCCTAGAGGACAGTTTGGCCGTGGCTCAGTACCAGCAGAGTCCACACAGCCTGCTGCACGCCGCCACGCCGCCGGAGCCGCCCAGCATCAACATGATGTGTCGCGCCGCCAAGGCGCTGCTGGCCATGGCGAAGGTGGAGGAGAACCGGACGGAGTTTGTTCTGTACGAGAGCCGGCTGCTGGACATCTCCCTGTCAGCCGCCCTCAACTCCTCGGTGGCGGCCATCATGTGTGAAGTAATGTTTAAAATCGGCCACTCGTGACACAGCACCGCCAAGGATCAAGCTCCGCCCACGTGACGAACTGGCTCCGACTATATTTTTATTTAAAGAACAGAAACATTTACGTACAAATGAATAGAATCTATAAAGTTCCTCTGCTCCATCCACAAATGTTTTTAAGTCATTTTAATACAAAAATATTTAATACGTGTTTTTTATTTTTTATTCTTTTGTCAGTTTGTTGTGTTTTTGGTTTTAACCAAAGTTTCACGGTGGAGAAATCTCGGGTTCCGGCTCCTGGTGAACGGAAGTGGTTGTTTCTTTCTTTTTGTGGGGCTGTTTTGTGGGCGGGGTTTGTTAGATATGGGGGCGGGTTCGGATTATTTAAGTTGTGACACGTGTTGTAGATAACACGTCTTTTCTCACGTGTGACGCAGGAAACGCTGACGTTCACTCTTGTACTTTGTTCTGCTGCAACAGGTTTGTGTTAATGTGAAAATTGGAGCGTCAGTATTTTACAAACCACAGCAGTATGGGGGGGGGGGGTCACTTCCTGTTTTTTAAGAACTTTTTCCGTCTCCACCGTCGTCATCCTGTAAATAGAAAATGCACATCGGAGCTCCAGCAGGGGGCGACACCTGGTGATGTCATTTCTAATCACGGCTCTGCTCACGTGAACGTTTGGTTTCTCTTCAGCTGGAGAAGATTTTCAGAAGGTTTGATGGAGTCTGGTGTGGAAGGGTGCGTTAGAATAGAGAGACTGTGTACAGGAGGTGGGGCGGGTGGGGACTCTGCTCATCATGTTGCTAACTGACAACTTCAGAAACATTATTACAAATATAAAGAGAGAAAAAGAAAATGTCTGAATGTCTCGTTTGATTTGACCGAGATCTTTACATGTTGAATAAACGCACGTGAACGTATCGTGAGCATCTTGAACGCAGCTCTGGACTCGTTTCATCGAACATATGGAACGGTTCAAAAATATCCGATTTATTTGAACTAGTGAACTAAACATGTTAACGTTTCATCTCATTCATCAATTTCTCGTGATTCTGAGCCATTTGGCCATTTTCAGTTGGGATACGGAAAATTAGACGCTTCACAAGGACGATACTATGATAAGTTCAGAGCCTGTGGTTTATTCACACCTGAGGGTAAAAAGGCAAATATGGATGAATTCATATTTTATTATGTCATAATATTAACACCACAAAATCAGTTCTGACTCACCAAAGTTTTCCATCGACTTGAATCTTGATTTTAGTAAAACTGATTTAAATAAAATAAATAAAGAGTCTGAGGAAAAACCTCTGAACCCAGAAGTGGGTGGAGCTCGAACAGCTTCAACTGGAACCAGGACAGAGACCAGGACCGGGACTGAAACCAGGACAGAGACCAGGACCGGGACTGAAACCAGGACAGAGACCAGGACCGGGACTGAACTGCTGAACTCTGATGACAAACAGCTGCTGAGTGTCGTTGATATTTTAAATCTCATTTGATTGGTCGTCAGCAGGATGACGTCACTTTGACTTGAAGACAGAGTCCCAGTCCAGAGGTTCAGATCCAGCTGTGGCCTCGGGCGACTTTGGGATGGAGGGGAAGAGGGACTGCATCTTCAGTCTGAACTCTGACAACTGAAAAACAGGAAGACGAGTGAGTCCAGAGACGAGTCAGTGTCTCGTCCAGCTTCTAACGTGTAGGTGCGAGAAGTTATTTAGCTTTGATGTTACTTTATTTTATAATGTTATTTTCAGTGTTTTTTAAATTCACTGTTAAAGCTTTGAATTAATGAATTTAAATCTCTTTATCCCTAAAACAGTTTTACTTTTGTGATGAAGTTTTTTCCACTAGTGTCCTGAATATTTATTAGTATAAATACATACATTTTACAGCTTCTCCAGATTCTTTTTTATATTTTTATTCAGTCATTTTATTAAAAAAATAAAATGTGCTGTTTTAGTTTTTCAAAGTTTTACACATGTAGAGTTCGGATACGTACAGAGTGAACACCAAGAACTTTCCACACAGCGACACTGAGCAGACCGACTCCACACCAGGCAAACAGAGACCCCCACCCCAGAGCTCGGAGAGCCAGAGACGCTCCGCTCTCCGGCACTGCCGCCGTCGACACCGCCCCCTGAGGAGGAGGAGCCAGATGGAAACAACATGGAGTCAGAACGTTACATACAAAGTAATGTTAAAGAGAAAATAGAAATTTACAATAAAAATGTCAAATAGAAAAAAAGTTTTAATTTTAATCGAAGAAAACTTTGTCCACAAACTTCTGGCTGTTTTGTTCACAAGCCTCAGATTTTCTTTGGTTTCTTTTGCAGTGAAACTAAATCAAACTTTGTGTCAGAGGCTCAGACGTCGACAAAGACGACAAAGACGAGTCTGAGTAAACGAACGGTGACCTCTGAGGTCACTGACAGAGCGAAGGAAACGATGACTCAGCAGCTGTGAAGTAAAATGAACGATTAAACTTCAGAACACGTGATAAAACCAACGATCCATCGATTGAACGTCTGGTGTTTGAAACATGAAGCTAAACAATCACCGGAGGTTTCTGTCGATCAACAGATCAATTATCGGACAAACTGTCTGCAGACGTCACTTCTCTCGATTGTTCCATCAGAGGAAACTGACGAGCAGCTCTTCTCATAATCTTTGAAACTGAATTTAAAGTCGTGTTTGTTCGGATTTGTCTGAATTAACTCATCAGCTGTTTGAGTCACAAAAGAACAAATGTCTCAGGATCAACGTGACGCTGAAGATCAAACTTTGAGTTGAGTCGCGTCTGTTCTGTCCTTTCGACCTCATTAGATATGATGATGTCATCAGGAAGTGGGAGTCACACTTAACATAAACGCGTGATTCAGACGTGAATGTAAAACTGAACATGTGACCTTCAGCTCTGGGAATAAAATTATTAAATCCACATTTTTCAATCAATGAATAAATTCAGCTTCGTTGTTAATGATAATTATTGATGCATTGTTCTGATAATTAAACAAACTGCACCTTATTAAACCAGTCGGGGCTTTTTTTCTTGGCCAGCGCCAACGTGGAGCCGAACCCTGCGATCATCCCTGCGGACGCCACCGTGGTCAGAAACGCTGCCCCTGCAGACAGGAAGTGAGGTCAGAACCCGTGAGGTAATATTTGCTTCATTCAAATTCTCCCGAGACCAAAGAGACTTTGTTCTTTTTCGCTAACAGACATTTGTATTTTCTGCTTCTACACGAGTCAGTTTGTTCTGAACTCTTTCACAGAATCTCTGGTTGGAATCCATTTTGTGAATCAACAGTTGAAAGTCAAGATTTATTCCTCAAGATAGATTCATGAACCAATAAACTGTGGAAATATAAGAATAAAAGAGTCAGGTTAGAAATCACAGGATTATTCAGCGGTGGAGGAAATAAAGCATTTACTTCTGTAAAAGTACAAATAAAAGTAATGTACTCAAGTACCACATGAACTTTTCTACTTAAGTAAAAGTAGGTATATAAATAAGTATATAAACCTGTAACATTGTGGACATGTGAAGTAAAAGTACCTGAAAATAAATATTCTCTTATCTAAAATAAAACGTGTCGCTGTGACCCTCCGGGGCTCCCGTACAAGTTCAAGATGTTGTTTGACGTCACGATTTAAAAAGACAGCTGAGCAATAAAACATCAATAATTAATAATCGATCAAATCAATATATACACAACATCTTACAAACTAATAACCACGTGACAGTCGTCGTCATAATGATCGATATCGAACTGATCATTTTCATCTGGAGTTTTAGTCAAATTAACGTGACTGGGACTTTGTGACGCGGTGTTACTTCCGCAGGCTGCGAGCTGCGGGAGCTGCGGTCAGGAGCTGGGTTCAGGAGCCGCTCCTCACCGTGAATCATCTGTTGTTTCTCCTTCTCTTCTTCTGTCATTGTCTCCGATGATGAACCATCCGCCGCCATGCTGCAGCGGTCCGTCAGCGTCCTGTCACCGGGCGGAAACAAGCCCGCTAGGAACTAAAGAAGTGGATGTCGTTTCCGGGGAGCAGAAAACACCAACGTACAAGAACTAAGTGTGTGTGTGTGTGTGTGTGTGTGTGTGTGTGTGTGTGTGTGTGTGTGTGTGTGTGTGTGTGTGTGTGTGT